AAAGTGTTTCTTGTTCTTCTAACATTGAGTTGAGATTTTTGAGAAAAATTTCAACACAATATTTCGTTCAATTTGTTCGCGGATTTCATTGATCAAAGAGTTGATAGCAAGGATCGGTCTCGGTGTGGATACGCATAGAGTCTTCGCACTATCGAAGAAATTTTGAAACGAGACTTTTTTCACCAGGTAAGTCTTAGATCCGATCTATTGACATGTAAATAAATTTTAAACACGAAAAGATCTTCCTAGGATTGTTATTGTCTTCCGCTGCGTGTTACGAACATCTATATGCAATCCTTCATGTGGACCTCTTGGTGAGGTTACCGACCCACTCTACCCCGGTGGTAGCTTTGACCCATTAGGTCTTGCTGATGACCCAGAGGCTTTTGCTGAGCTCAAGGTGAAGGAGATAAAAAATGGTAGACTTGCTATGTTCTCCATGTTCGGATTCTTCGTTCAGGCTATTGTCACCGGAAAAGGTCCATTAGAGAACCTTACTGACCCCGTTAACAACAATGCCTGGGCCTATGCCACAAACTTTGTCCCCGGAAAGTAAAGTTCTTAAAAGAAGAGTCTCTTTTAGTATCAGATCGTCTGATGTCCTTGTGAAACTGATGTAAATTACTGGAGATTATATAAGAATTTTGTTCAATTGTTTAGTTCTCAGTTACATTTTCTGTGCTATCCATAAATTAAGTACAAGTTAAAAAAATGGGGTAAATAGGGAACTTGGCATTTCTGAGGTACTAAAACAAATATAATAGTAGTAACAACAAAGCGTTCAAAGTTTCAAACAACAGCTTGCAGAGCAGAGGAAACCGATATTAAAATTGAAAAGAGAGGCTAATGATTTGGGAAACTCACACAAATGTCCCAAATAAATCTCAACTTACCAACCTCTAGCCATTAGTCATAGAATTACCAAAACTAGCCAACAAAAATTTAAAAACCAAATAATAGGGTTCTTTCTCTTAAAGAATCACATGCAAAAATCACCTTCCATATTTTTAATCGTGATTAGCAACATTAGATACAAGACGTAAAGAAAATTTCATGGACGGGGTAGCAAATAAGGTAATGAAATACAAAAATCTATACAATATTCTAAAAATCTAAACAAAAAAGGAACTTTTTTAATGGGTATAGTTGAAATTCATTGAAAATATATAGATAAGTCAATATACAAAATTTGAGGAAGATTGGAGATGATTTGGACTGGTTTGCATCAAAATTCGTAATTAAATCGAGTTCAAAAAAGTCTTCTGCGACACATGTATCAAACATGTATCACGCATGTATCTCACGCACAGATATACATGGATATACATGTGATACACAATTGATACAAGTATGATACATATGTGATACACAAATGATACACAGTGTGATACACATATCATTTTTTTTTCATGTTCAGCTTTTTACTTCGAATTTTCAATTCATACCACCTCAAAACTTCACCAAATCATCCCAAAATTGATATTCAAGCTCCTTAAGTTGTGCCCAATCTATTCTAATAACACCCACTCAAAACAAAGCAAAAATTTGATATTTTTTTGCTACAAATAGCTAATTGGCTAATTTGGCTAATATTAGTAATATTTTATCAATTGGCCAATTTTGTAATAAGCTACTTATAAATGGACATAGCTGATAATTTCCCTAATGATTTTCTTCCAGATATATACGAAATTCTATATATGCCAACCAAATTTGTAGGCATTGTTCTGCACTTCTACTTATATACAACTAAAATAAACTATGTTCTTGCCTTTTCCTTTACCCAGATTAAGGTTTAAAGACACAACTGCCTAGCAATATTATCTTTGTTTGTTCCGATATTTTTTAGTTACTACAGTGAAGTATTGTTATAGAGAAAATATATTAACATTACACAAAAATAGTTATAGTGAATGATCGTTATATAGAGATGTTATATAGAGGTCTGACTGTAATAGTATTGTCAATTTTGGTTCATATTTTAGCAGACCTGGAAGATTTGGTTGTGGTCCACTGCAAATGTTATCTTAATTATATGACCCTTTTGACATAAGATCAATGAATAAAATGTAGGAATTTTTACCTCCTATAGCAAAGGTTAACACCTTATTTATTTTAAATAAATACCATTTAAAAAAATTATATTCTATAGATATCTTTTAAGGTTTATAGCAAAATATTTAATTTTGGTTACCTCCTAATCCTAAGCCACTAAATACGCTAATCAGTTACACTATTTTCTTTCTCTCTCTACTTTGATACATCTCATTCTCTTCCCCCATCCCATTAAAATTTCCGATCTCCTCCTCCTTCCACCGGATTTGTGCAAAGCCCACTTCAGAGATGCTGATTTCGATAATGGATTTTCAGGGGATCTCAAGCTTCCCTTGAGTTTTTATATATAAAGAATTGCCCTATGCTCGATTTGTCGAACGAAGAAGATCTTATTCGTATAGTAGAATGTGAGTCCAAATTGTTCTTCATCCAAATCTGCGATCTAAGATTGCTATGCTAAACTTACACGACAAATTGAATATTGAAGCTTAATTTCCTTGTCATTAACATTTGATTACTGGAGCATTGATGCCGCAATTTGTTCTTAGGCCCAGACAAGAGCAACTTGGGCTTTTCCTTGGCCACCATTGCTCGACAGCGGATTCGCCAGAAATTAGGGTTTGTTCTTGAACAAAGACGACGGAGTTTGGGGTTGAACAACTTGATTTTCTATTAATATATTTCAATGTATTTTCATGTATTTCATTGTATTCATTGTCTTTTTTTTTCATTGTAATTCAATGTATCTCGTTGTATTCCATGTATTTCATTGTATTCACTGTCTTTTTTTAATTGTATTTCAATGTATCCTGTTGTATTCTACGTATTTTATTGTATTCACTGTCTCGTTATATGCCATGAATGTATTCATATGTTTTTTTTAATTAATATAATTTATGTATTCAGATGTATTATATAATTTCTCTGAAGATTGCTATGTTTTTGGGGTATTTTTCGGTTGAGAATCCTTTTTATAACTGAAAATACAATTTTTGTGTGTTATAATTGAATTTGTTGAGTTATATTAGAAGTCTATTATGTTAATTGATTCACTTTCCGTTTTAAAAACAGTATAATCCCCTATTTCACGCCGTGAATACAGTCGAATACAATAATCTATCCAGCTGTAATCCCATGTTTCACTCCATGAATACAATCGAATACACTCGAATACAACAACTGATTAGCTGGACTTCCCTGATTCACGCCTATTTTTGCTACTGTATTCATGAATACAATAGCTTAAATACATCAAATACATCTTATAACCACAAAAAAGGTATCTATAATCCGTAATATAGCAAATGATATCTATAGATGGCTAATTACTACCAAAAGATAGTGCTTTATGAAAATTTCTCTTTGATAATCCCTCCGGTCCATGATAAGTGTCTTCTCGCCTCTTTATTTTGGTCCAAAATAAATGTCCTTTTACATAATCAAGAAGCAATTAACTTTATTTTTTTAAAATTTGCCCTTATTTACATATCCCAATGTGTCAAGTTAAAAATATGCAAATCATAATTAAGTGTAATTTAGTCAAAATATCTTCTTTTTTTCTCTAGAGCTTAGAATTTTCTTAAAGGGTATGCCAAAGGCCAAAAAGCTACTTATTATGGACCGGCGGAAGTAATACACAATATATTATTTCTCCGTGTTTACCTCAAAAAATGTGAGTAACAATTAAAGGTGATTTGTGGTTTTAAAGATATGTGATTTATTCCAATACTAGTGAATATACAAGTAATATTAGGTTTAAGTAAGAAGAATTGATGAACCAAACCAGTATTGTTAGAGCAACGGGGACCTCGAGCACGACTATCTCGGGGGCCCCGAGGTGAGTTAAGAGCAAATAAAGTATGAACAATAAAATAAAAACAATAAAACTGAAGAACAATTGTGGAGCACAGTAAACGAGAAAAGCAGAATAGAATGTTATATTGTAGTGAATGAGATCTGTCTTTACAAAATGATTGGGTCCCTTTTATATAGGGGGGAAAACCCTAGTATGGTATATTCCCAATTATGGTAAAGAATTCTATTGGTACAGCTGTATAACAACCTAGTACGGACTCATACTATTTCGTACAAATCTTATCCCATAATTTATGCCCCGATCACGTGTCCTAGAAATTCCCGCTATTTCTTGAGTGTTATCGAATTGTACTGCCCTCGAGGTAGATCATGACGGGTCTTCGATTTACTCCCTCGAGGTATGCATTTTCCAGTCAGATCTGGTCTTTACTTCATGCTGCCCGAACTCGAGCCCGGGGTACCGTTAAGTCCTCGAAATCGAGCTCTCCGATTTCGACCGTATACAGATAGTCCCGCGTTTCTTAGAATGAAAAGATAAGAAACGATCTGATTCTCGCCCCTTCGATGTCCTAATCATGATGTCAGTCTAGTGAGATCAGCGGTCCGTGTGACTTAAAAGTCGTGCAAAAGTTACGCCTACACAGTTTTCGAAAAGCCTTTAATGAAAGACGGCTATTGGTCGTCCGTTTAGCTTCTCCAACACGCTTAGACAGCCTCTATAAATACTTCAATCCTTCATTCTTCAAACTTTTACTTTTACAATATCATCAAATCCTCTCTGCACTTATTCCTTCCTTGTGCCCATTTCTTAACCAGCTCCTTCTCCTTCTTCTGAATTTTCACAACAAAAATGGCAAAAACTTCTAAGACAGTTCCACNGTAATCCCATGTTTCACTCCATGAATACAATCGAATACACTCGAATACAACAACTGATTAGCTGGACTTCCCTGATTCACGCCTATTTTTGCTACTGTATTCATGAATACAATAGCTTAAATACATCAAATACATCTTATAACCACAAAAAAGATATCTATAATCCGTAATATAGCAAATGGTATCTATAAATGACTAATTACTACTAAAAAATAGTGCTTTATGAAAATTTCCCTAAAATGTAAGAAATATCTACAAGATCATTTTCTTTTATTCAAATTGTAACTGATCATAGAAGATCATAATGAGTCAATATGTTCCAAATTCTAACATGGAAGAGAGAGACAAAAAGCCTTCTTGTACATTCAAGTATACAATCTTCACAAAATGACTTGAAACTTTAAATAACTAAATAGACAATAAGGTCACCATTTGAGCACAGTGTGTTCTTGGAAATCAAACAAATCAGACCAGAGCTCATTATGCTTCCCTTTACTGGAGCTGCTATTTATCAAAATTGTGGTTCAGACATGAGAGATTGGGAAATCATTATTTCTCAGATGTTGTAACATCTCAAAAACAGTAAACAACGTCTTTGTTGGTATCAGAGAAGTTCACAAACCCAATGACCAGAACTATGATCCGGGCAACAGAGACAAATTCTGCAAACTATACAAGTTAGTGTACGAAAGAGGGAACCTGTCTCCTCTATCCACAAAAATGGTTCATCTTCTTGAGGTAGCTCAAAAGAGTCTGTCTCATACTCTAAGGACCAGCCAGCAATAAAGCAAATTGCTGATAAAAATGGGTTAGTGTATGTCGATTAAATTGCTGGTAAATGATCAAGCATTTCCCAAAAACAGTTGGAGGATAGCTCGTTCATCTTATTTATTAAATCAGTTGACCAAGCAGCTGTTCATTTGCACGAATCTTAGCATGCTGATTATAGCCATACACTGATGCATATGCCGTGCATCAATAGAAGCCTTCATCTTGAATGACGTTCAGCCATTTTATCTTCCTCTATATCTTTGGTGACATGTCCACTGGTTGGCCTACAAAATACACATGTAAAACATCAAGCCAAGAATTTGCGTAACATGAAAGGCAAAGCAAATATGATTTTGTTCTATTCATTCAAGGACAATCATAGTTAATCAGTCACTCAAATGGACACATAATGATCACAGCTAAAACAATATTACTCAAAAGAATTGGCAGACCCTTAACCATTACAATGACGCATAGAATGCTGGTGACAGGCGAATTCAGAAGAATAAGTGAAACAAATACCCTAGTAGATTTTCTCATTATGAGAGTCGACCTAGATTATGTATTTTTTCTATCCTAAATTGAGTGTCTGCTTTGATTTTTTGAAAGAATCCTAGCATGCAAACCAAACCTTAAGGCAACAGGCAGAGTAGCTCAAAACCTTATTAGCCCTCTTGAAAGCTCTTACACAACCTATGTGGGAAAACCATCTAATTCAAGCAGTGTTACCTTATTTTGCGGTTACAAGTCAACTTTAGTAGGGAATTTTGAGTGTGAGAGTCAGCTTGCCAAAAGTTGGCTTTGATATCATGTGAAAGAATATGATAATCCAACTCAATACCTTAAAGCAATGGATGTAGTAGCCCAAAACCTTTACAAACCACATCGAAGGCCCTTACGGAATACATAACACATAACCCAAATGGGACAAGTACCTAACTCAACATACATAAACACAATACGAAGAGATGAGGCGAACCCAGGATTTTAAGGCGACGCGGGTACCACTATTTTTTCTGCTAACATAAACATGTCAACAGGTTTATGTTCAACCAATAAATAAGATGGCTACTAAACTGAAATGGTAGAATATAGAAATTAAAACACATAGAAAGATTTGTTGGAGTAGGGACCGAACCTAGGTTAATATTTTCAAGGTATACATGCGTACATATACAAGATTTCTGACAAAGTTTACGGGGTCCGGTAACTCCTCAATTTTACAAGTAGGTCCTCCTCTGACTAAGAGCGAATGTAGCTTAAGGCATGAAAATTGGAATATATGCAAATATAAGTATTGTTGGTTTGACGAAATTCTTCCTGATGATTCTACTATTTGAGAAACGTAGTAACTAAGGCTTCTCATAGGTTGGTGTTATCAAAAAACGACTTCTCATGGCTTGTATCTGTATTGGTCTCCAAGGATAATTTATTATTTAAGCGAACATCCCTGAAGTGGCTTCATGTAATGGCACAAGATAGCCAAATGAACTACTGCAAGACACAGTTAACTTTGTCTGACTGTCAATACCATATCAATTGCGTAACTAGAAAAGTTCCTCTAAGTGCTGCATGCTAACTTTATAGACTAAAAGAGCTAAACCATAGAACACGTGGATAGAAACTCGAAAAGTACAAATCGTTTGTTTCACACAACTGCAGAGAATGTGAACTTAACCACTAAATTGGCATCTTTGTTTACCCCTGTGATCCACCTGAATTATACAGAAGTAAACTCATTCCTTCCTTTTTTTTCTTTTTTTTCTGGATGGAAGTGATAATTGTTGAAGTAGTAGTGTAAATGTGTAATATATTCATCTTGCTCAAGAATTCCTTCACGTAGTGGGTGCTACAGCAGGATAAATTAAGTCAAAGAAATTAAAAGAACATATTATACTTTCCACTGCAATCATCAAAAGCCCATCTGGTTTTCCTTTTTTTTTCTCTGTTTCCGAGTCTGCAGTTGTTTTAGGACATTTTACTTTTATTTTCTTTGAACTTTCTTTGGTTAACATGGATTAGAATCCAAGTTTACTTACAGTTACTCCTTTATTTATAAATACAAGCACCTCAGTTATGTGATCAAAGAGTGCTTATTAACCTGTCTTTTGAAGTTGGTTCAAGGGTCTTCGGAGACCCAATTCCAAATAGTGAAGATAATTTTTCCGGGTCAAAGCCGCACAGAAGAATTCCTCCATGCATTAGTAATTCATCCAAACAAAACTTCGGTGGATAGCTAGTCAAAGGCTTAACACAAGTCGTTGGACATTGTTCAAAATAAAATAATAATGAATTGAAGGAGAGTAGTGGTGTTAATTAGTTATTGACCCCAAAGTGACGGGGTACTGACCTTGACTGCTCCTATGTGCAACAACTACACCTAAAGCCCAAGCGAGTTGGGGTAAAACCAAACTTGGACAGTGTACTTGGCTGCTACTCCTGTGTAATTTTTTTTTTAAATAATTGCGGTGCCCGGGCCAGCTTGCGTGCACCTTGACTAATTCCACGGGATACCTGCCACCTCCCACCAGCAACAGGTACCTGGTGACTTTGTCCACCAAGGCTTGAGCAAATGGGAAGAAATCACCTTGTGTCTTTGCCTCCGTTGGAGTTGAACATGAGACCTCATGGTTCCCCTCCACTTTACTGACCGACCACTAGGCCAGACTTGGACAATGATTTGACTATTGCCTTCTTTAGTTTCAGAATATCTAGGCAGCCAGTGCACCTCAGCCAGGCCGCTTTCTGCCGTGTTGATGACCCACTAAGTAAGCAACATACGATACCACATCCTGAAGGTATAAGGGTCTTCTGAACATGACAAACTTTAGTTCTACAAATTTTTGTGCCTTTTTTCTGTTTCTTGTTTCTTATGTTCTACTTTATTTGGATAAAGTTCAATGTGAATGAAGATTTTACGTGCTTGAGTGTGCAAATTTGCCTAGGGAGAGCTATTGCCATCACTTCTCGAGTTTCAGTGGGTCTTCTCCGCCTTATAATCCATCAAAAATCACATAATCTATTTAATTCATGAGAAGCAAGATAAGAAGTACACATTAATAATAGTTAGATACTTATATGTAACTAATAACTCGGTGGCCTTCAGGCAGATGCATGCTAAAATAACAAGAAATCACATGTCAAATTTTCATGCAGAATACGCAAGGTTGGGAAAGTGAAAGTTGAACCATCTCATGTACCAATAAGCTATTATGGAAAGAGCACTTACAATCCACTGAATATTTTAATGGTGTCGTAGAACAACCACTGCAAAGTCACAACTGGTCCAACTAGCATTATCCTAATAGGAAGACTTCTTGTAAACAAATTAAGAAACCCAATTTTCTTCACAGCCTGAAAGGTAAAAAGGGTAAAATAAAAATGCAGCAAGCATGAAAGCATTTATTTATTTTTGGGTGTGGGAAAACATTAAGAGATTTTACCAGCTTTACGCTACTGGCCTTCTTGTTGTTAAGAGAAGCCACGATGTTGTCAGCAGGGTTCGAAATAATACTACCAATAGATCCAGCAGCATATCCAGCTAAACAAGTTACGCCAAGCTGCTGAGCTCTTGAACACTCTTCCTTCCTTTTCTGGATTATATTTCGATAAAGAAAATTCGCTGTATGCTCAAAGGTTGAGAACATAACTATTGAGACTGCAGACAAAATAACCAGAGTAAAATGAATAACCAACATTTTTTTTTTTGATGAAGTAAAAATGAATAACCAACATTATATCCTTATCAAGGGGAAAGAACAGAATAACCAACTTTAATTGTATTGATCATACCCCTAAACCAATACAGCTAATAGTCATCAATTTCTTCAATCACTGCTAAATTAGACCAAGATTAGAAATGACATATGGTAAAGCCAATTTTCTACTTTAAACTTTAACATCTATTCCAGAAAATGATCTAGTATAGCTAAGCTATGCATTTCAGCTAGATTTCAACTTCAGACAGGTGACATAAAACAGTCCTGTGTGGTGTGATTGGTATCACATGCTGCATATTGGTTATCTATGTGTAGTGTACACAATTTCATTGGATATACATATAAAGATTTGCGAATAGAGTTTCAAAGACGGAGAGGTACATGGTAGATTACGACCCAGTAGAGGAATAAGCCCTCTGTATAACCTGAAATTAGAAAGCCAAATTGTAGTGACTGTCAGCACGAAAAAATATTACACCACAAGGGGAAAAGAAGTCCATGGTTAGGTTTGTACCCATGGATGCCTTCTGATGCATATATTCTCGGAAATCCATCAGTGAGGCCTTTGGCGAAACGAGGCTGAGCTTGCACGCGAACTTTAATGGCCTCAAATGGGCAGAGAGCCACATTAGCAATTACTTCAGCTGATGCGCTGCTGGCGAAAAATACCAAACTCTTGTTCTGATCCACCAGTAAATTCGAGTACACTTTCTTAAAATATTCATATAGACCAAATCTACAAGCACCTTGAACACCATAGCCAAAAAATTTCCCAGCCCATCCTCGCCAAAAGGCCGATGGACCTTGTTCTCTCAATAAAGTCGTAAAGCATGTGGAAATGCTACTATACTTGATAGGGTGCACCTACAGATTACAAACAGTAATTCATATCATAAGAAAGATCATGATGAAAGTGAAATTATACCAACTGAAATGGGGTTGACGGGTATACTAGTCAATCCATCAACTATGCATAAACTTCAAATTAGTTTGGGTCGACTATATAAATCCTCTGTACCCATTCCGCTCAACTCAGGTATCATTCAAATGCAAAATAATTTGACCTCCTAAAGGTATTTATACAATTTAAGATCCACATTCATGAGCATTAACTAACTGTTTTTTTTATGACGGTAGACCAGCTTAGGCGCACCTCGACTATTCCACCGGGTACTTACTACCCTACCAGCATAGGCACCGGGTAAATCTGCCTAACAAGGCTTAAGCAGAAGGGAAGAATCACCTAGTGTTTTTTGTCTTCACTTTGGGATTTGAACCTAAACTTTATGGTTCTCCTCCCACTTCATTGACAACTAGGTTACATACTTGGGTGTGAGCATTGAAAAACTGCTTATGTTACCATTTTGCATATAAGAGACCAGAAATGATCAAATGGTGCGCCATTGATTTATATTACTATTTCTTGTTTCACTATAGTTAAGTTTTACTTTGAAATTTTTATCCAAAATTTCACTCTCAGTGTAATTAATTGGGGTTAAACCTTGAGATTATCTGAATTTGTAATGTTATTACTATAATGAGATAAATCAGTAGAAGAAGCAATGTAGCAAAAATTAGAATTGAAATAGAAATTGCCAAGACAAGGCAAAAAGACAGCACAAGAAATAGCAATTATACCAACCGAAAGGCGATTGACGGGCATAACAATCAATCAATCAACTATGCATCAATTCCGAATTAGTTGGGTTAGCTATATAAATCCTATGTATCCGTTCCATTCTATTCAAGTATCATCTCTATGCTAAATAATTTTGACTTTTTAAGAGTGTGTACACAATCTAAAATTCTATTCATTCAGCAGCATTAACTAATTATTTACATTAGTTTGTTGCATACAAGAAATCAGAAATACAACAAAAGGGCGGCTCGGTGCACTAAGCTCCCGCTATGCGTGGGGCCCGGGAAGGGCCGGACCACAAGGGTCTATTATACACGGTCTTATCCTGCATTTTTGCAAGAGGCTGTTTCCACGACTCGAACCGGTGACCTATCGGTCACATGGCAGTAACTTTACCAATTAGGCCAAAGCTCCTTTTCTAAATCAGAAATACAACATTACTAATATTTATTTTGACCAAGATTCTTACAAAAAAGTCAAACCCCAACAAATTTTTTTACCTGCATATTAACTTTGAGAACATCAAGAGGGGTGATAGCAAGATGAGTAGTGCCAGCACTAAGCATACCTCCAATTGTACAAATTCCATAATACCCTGGTGAGAATTCTTCACATACTTTTCCTCCTATTAAACTACTGCTACTCATATTTAAACTTAAAACTGTTTTGACGTTCTACAGAAAAACCCCACTTTGTTTTTTTCTTCTTAAACCCATATATGCAGCCAAAGTTTCGATTTTTCTACTGTATGTGATGGATCTTTCAACAGGGTTTTGTGCAAGATTTAAGGTAACAGCGAGAACGACGTCGTGGTATATGGTTTCCTCATTTAGTTCTTAAAGAATCTTTGTAATTATAGAACTGTTTTGCTTTTTTTTTCTTGGAACATTTTTAAGAAAGGGTATTTTAAAAAGAATCTTGATTGAGTACTGTCTGGGCATTTTCTTTTAAAGTTTTTGGGACAAAAATAAAAAATGTAAAATACATTAAATATTCAATTTTCATGCCTTGTTTTGTACCCCAAAAAAAATAAATAAGAAGTTAGACCCTCCTTCCTCCTCCCCCCCTCCCCTCCCGGGCCAATAGAGAGAAAAAAAGTCATCATGAAATATATTCCTTTCAGACAATTTTTTTTAGAAAATTATACAACTCAAACATACACTTTTTAAGAAATCAATTCAAAAAATGACACCTAAGTGTGTGGAATGAATCTACGATTAATGCTGGTCATGAAGTTAAACGAACAAAGAGATGCTAAAAAAAATATGTACTTACAAGTAGGGGTGGGCATAAATCTAAAAAACCGGATCTAATTGCACTAATTCGTGTCGAGGCTGATAATTAGGACTAGTTATACAGCTGTATGCCAGCTGTTAGTGAGTTGGCATTAGTGTAGGATTAAGTTAACAAGTTAGTTAGTTAGTTAACTAATAAATAGGGAGTTTTATTTTTATTTCAGATTTTGTAGCTTAGTATTGATTCACTAAGAATGCATTTCTCTTCCTTCTCTCTCTCTCTCGTCTCATTTCCTCTCCTGCTCATCTCCATAGCTGACCTCCATTAACATGATATCAGAGCTTCGGTGAAGTTACCTGGTTCAGCAATTAGGAGAAGTCTGCTGCGAAGAGAAGTAAGAAGAAAATACTCACAAATTGAGCTCAAATTCGAATTTGTGATCTATGGCGATAATTCCTCTGTGAGTGAATCTCGATTCACTAAAAACTTCAATCTCAATTGTTGATTTTTGAAGACCTGCTAATTGATTACTACGATGACTATCGAAGAAATTACTTCCTCTGCTCCAGCCACTCCAACACTACATGATCAGAATGTAGACCTAGTTCATCACAATCACCCTCTCTATATCCAAGCATATGATACACAAGGTGCAGTTCTCATTTCAATTCAACTTCGAGGTTCTGAGAATTATTCATTGTGGAGTAGATCTATGAAAATTGTATTGCATGGTAAAAACAAGTTAGGTTTTGTGTTAGGAACCTGTAGAAAACACATGTTTGATCCTAGCCTATATGAGCTATGGGATAGGTGTAATGTTATTGTGTTGGCTTGGATAATGAACATTGTGGCTCCAAATTTACTTAGTTCTATGATATACGCTTCTAATGCTCACAAGGTTTGGGAAGACCTTCGTGAGAGGTTTGATAAGATCAATTTATCTAGATCCTTCTACTTACACAAGGAAATCGGGAAGCTAACACAATGTCTATTATCTGTGTCTGAATATTTTTCAAAACTTAGAGAATTGTGGGATGAATATGAGGCTTTAGTTCCTCCTCCTTCATGTGGTTGTCCAGAATCTAAACAAAATGCAGAACATTAAGCTTCGAAAGTTGTATCAATTTCTTACTGGGCTAAATGATACTTTTGATAATGCTAAGGATCAGATTCTCACGACTAGACCAGTACCTAATATAAACCAGGCATATGCAATGATCATTAATGTGGAAAGTCAAAGAAGAAACAATGCTACTGTTGGTGTTACTACAGCTCTACTGAGTAATAGAGCCCCTACTGATGGTTACAATCGTGGTTATAAGCCCAGAAATAACTTTGGAAAGTCTCTCTTCAGTGTGACTTATGCCATCTTAAAGGACATACTGGAGACAATTGTTACAAACTTCATTGTTACCCCACTGATTTTAGAGACAGGAAAGGAGAGGGAGGTACTCCTGATTCCAAAGGTGCATATGCACACACTGTCAGTAGCATCTGATTCATCTAACCAACAAGGAGGTGCTGCTAATGTGGTTCCATCATATGGTTCAGCAACAGCAGGTGTCTCTTCAGCACCTTTCTTTACTCAGGATCAATACAATCGGATCCTGCAGATGTTGAACAAAGGAAAGCAGGTTGAAACTGTGGCTAATTCTGCAACAATGAATACTACAGGTACTATAACGGCTCTCATGTCTCATATAGCAAACAACAATTGGATTATAGATACATGTGCTACCAATCATATGGCTCACAACCTGAATTTATTGAGCAATATTAGAAAATTATCAGATAGTGATCAAAACTCAGTTCAACTTCCTAATGGTGAAAAGGTTATTATCAGTCACACTGGTGATCTATCATTGTTTAAGGATAAATTAGTACATCATGTGCTTTATATTCTAGATTTCAAGTTTAATCTGATATCATTGTCAAAAATCACAAAAGAGCTAAGATGTCTAGTAGCTTTCTTTCCTGACTTCTGCATATTTCAGGAGCTCTTCACTGGGAAGGTGATAGGGATTGGTAAAGAGGAGCATGGACTCTACATTGTGAAGCACAAAGAACAAGATGTTCCCAAGCAGTTGTCAGATCCTATGCCAATTCATTCTTGTCCTCTTGTAAATACTACTGTTAGTGAGTCCCAAACAAATAATGCTAGTACTGAAATAAGAATTCTACTGAATATCTATATGAGATTGTCTTGTGGCATAAGAGGTTAGGCCATGCACCATTAAGAGTTCTAAAGAAGATAGAAGTCTGCCTAATGTTCAGTTGAAGGAGCATTTCTGTACAGTTTGTCATGTTGCTTAGCAAACAAGAATTCCTTTTTCTTCTAGTAATGCATGTTATATTAATGTATTTGATCTCATACATGCATGCTGATATTTGGGGGCCATATAGAGTACCTACTCAAAATGATAGGAGGTATTTTTTTACTTTAGTGGATGACTACTCAAGGTTTATCTGGCTTTTCTTAATGAATGACAAGGCAGAATCTATTGTGATCTTGAGAAATTTTCTGTTATTAGTCAAAAATCAGTTTCACTACAGTGTCAAGTGTCTAAGGTCAGACAATGGTACTGAATTCTTTAACAATCAAGTCACAGGACTTCTACAAGAACATGGCATAGTTCATCAAAGTTCTTGTGTATACACTCGTCAACAAAATGACAAAGTTGAAAGAAGACATAGATCTATTTTTGATATGGATAGGGCCTTAAGGTTTCCGGATTGTGTCCCCTGAAAATTTTGGGGAGAATGTATTACTACTGTTGTGTACATTCTGAATAGGCTACCTACTACTGTACTGAAGGGTGTATCTCCTTTTAAAAAGTTATTTCACAAGTCCCCTTCTTTACAACATCTCAAAGTCTTTGGGAGTCTGTGTTATGCAACTAACCTGAAGAAAATAGATAAGTTCTGCCCTAGAGCTATTCATGTTGTTCATCTAGGTTATTCCTCTTTCCAGAAGGGTTATGTTATGTATGACCTGAGCTCTCAACTCTTCTTTGTTAGTAGAGACACTGTGTTCAGAGAAGATATTTTTTCATTCAAACATCTACATACAACCCCATCTCATTTGTTTCCAGTTCTAGAGTTCAGAGATGATGAGGATCCTACTCTGCATACTCCTGACTCCTTCAGTCCATCTGCTACTCCATGTCCTTCTATGCCTTCCTTGAGTAACCAACCTACTCCATTCTCCTCTTCTCCACCTACTACTGATTATTCTTCCTCATCCTCTCTTCCTTCACCTGCTCATGCTGATTTAAGGAGATCTTCTAAGGTGACTAAACCTCATTTATGGATGCAAGACTATATTGTGTTGTCTAAGCCTTTTTCCTGTACTCACCCTATCTCACAGTGTGTAACCTATGATTATCTCTCACCTACCTGCAGGGCATTGCTTGCAGCTTATTTGGCCATTACTGAGCCAAGGTCTTATGATGAAGCCAAGGCAGATCCCAAGTGGATTGAGGCTATAAAAGCTGAGATTTTAGCCTTAGAAGCTAATCAGACCTGGACTATTGTTGATCTTCCTCACGGTAAGACTCCTATAGGATGTAAATAGATCTTTAAAGTGAAGTACATGTCTACTGGTGAAGTGGAGAGGTATAAGACTCGACTAGTTGCCAAAGGATATACTCAATTTAGATTATAAGGAGACTTTATCTCCTATAGCTAATATGGTAACTGTTAGATCTGTGGTGGCTTTGGCTGTAACATCTGGATGGTATATTTTTCAGATGGATGTACACAATGCTTTCCTTCAAGGTGATCTCCTTGAAGAGATGTTCATGCACATCCCAGATGGCTTTGCCAGCCAGGGGGAGTTACAGCAACAACAGAAGGTTTGCAGGCTTCATAAGTCACTGTATGGGCTTAAACAAGCTCCAGACAGTGGAACTTAAAGCTTACTAGTGCACTAATTGACATGAGATTTGTTCAATCGCACTATGACTATTCTTTGTTCACACATAAGGTAGGTTGTGATCTTCAGTAGTGTTGGTGTATGTGGATGATCTGTTGGTGACAGGAACTAGCTTAGCACTCATTCAACAAGTGAGGAAGATCTACAAGCCAAGTTTAAAATGAAGGATCTGGGAGAACTGAAGTTTTTCCTTGGTATTGGGTTTTTGAGATCTAAGGAAGGAATTTTGATGAATCAAAGGAAGTATGCACTTGAGCTAGTGTCTGAAATAGGATTAGCAGGTAGTAGAACAACAGTTACTCCTCTAGATTTCAATCACAAGCTCTCCTCTGTAGAACTAGACAGGTTTTTGCACACTAGTGAGACTCAGTTGACAAAGAAATAGAAGATAGAAGCAGCTACCAAAGGCTGACTGGCACAATGTTATACCTAACTATGACTAGGCCTGATATTTCCTTTGTAGTTCAGGTACTTAGTCAATACATGCATGCTCCTAAGCAGTCTCACATGGATGCAACTATAAGAGTAGTTAGATACATTAAGGGCACTGCAGGTCTTGGGTTGTTTATGCTAGCAGATGAAAGCACAGAATTGTCAGCATTTTGTGACTTAGATTGGGGAGCATGTGTAGAAACCAGGAAGTCAGTAACAGGCTACATAGTGAAGTTTGGGCAAGCTTTGGTGTCTTGGATATCAAAGAAACAAAGTAATATTTCCAGAAGTTCTGCTAAAGTAGAATTCAGGAGCATGTAGCTGAGATCACTTGGTTAATTGGGCTTTTAAAGAGCTTGGAGTGAAGGTGAATTTGCCTGTGCAACTGTTTTGTGACAGCAAAGCTGCAATTCAGATTGCAGCTCACCCCATTTTTCATGAGAGGACAAAACACTTTGACATTGATTGTCATTTTATGAGAGAAAAAATTCAAAATGAGCAAATACAAACTCAACATATTGGAACCAAGGATCAGTTCGTTGACCTGCTTACAAAAGGCTTTTGCAGACCATAACATGATCATCTGGTAGGCAAGCTGGGAATGAAGAACATATTTCATCCCTCAGCTTGAGGGAGAGTGTTGAGGCTGGTAGTTATACAGTTGTATGCCAGCTATTAATGAGTTGGCATTAGTGGAGGATTAATAACAAGTTAGTTAGTTAGTTAGCCATGTGTATAAATAGGGAGTTTTATTGTCATTTCAGATTTTGTAGCTTAGTATTGATTCAGTGAGAATGCATTTCTCTTCCTTCTCTCTCTCGTCTTATTTGCTCTCCTACTCATCTCCATAGCTGACCTCCATTAACAATTCAGTATTTCGGTATCGGTTCTTCAGTTATTCGGTATTGATTTGATACGAATTTTGGTATTTTCGGTATGGTTCTCGCCATAGAACTTTCGATACTTCGATAATACCAAAATATTTTAAGTAAGCCTCCCACCACTTTCCAGCCCAAGTTTTTAATGTTCTTACTATATGGTGGCTTTTGGAGGATTCAAATGAGAGAAGAAAACGATATAATTTGCTTCTGTTTAATACTTATTGTGATAAACCTTCTGTTGCTGGTTGTGCGCTTTGGCTTTTCTGCTGTTGGTACTCTCTTGCTGAAAGTAAGGACCGAAATTTCTTATCAAATGACGGTATTTTATATTCTTATGTGATTTCTATTGAATTAGAGTTCACCCCAGTTCCGTTCGCAAAGACTTGGTACAATACTGAAATCGTACCAAAACCATATCGAACTACTTTAGTACTATATTTGGCATGCACAACTAATATACCGAATACCAAAGTACTGATAATAGGCTAGATTCATGTAGTTTGGCGACTATTTATGCCCCAACTTGACTATGCTTCACCGTTCTAAGAATGTTAAATGACGATAAAATGGCTCTAATTGTGAATTTCATGTTTTGCAGGAGCAAGTTGTGCTTATGAAGACTTAGGACAGTGTTCGGAGCTAAATTAAAGCAAGGGAAGCCCCTCGGAGCTGAGTACGTGTGAAAGAAGAAAGAAAAGAAGAGAAAAAAGGCTGATTCACTCTAGCGCGGCCTTAGCGCGACCGCGCTAGAGCAGGAAATTGAGGCAGAACACTCAGCTATATGCGCGGCCACTAGCGCGGTTCGAGCGCGGCCGCGCTAGTCCAATCCGGAGCGCAGAAGTTCTGGGGTAAGGTTGGAAGTTTAGGGGTAATTCCACTTAACCTATAAGAGGTCCAGCTCGCCCAAAAAGACATTATCAAGGTTTTTATAGCTTAGTTGAAGGCAAGAAGAGGAAAGAGGCAAGGAGGATAATTCGACATCGAGTTCTACCTTTCTTCCTTTTGTATTTATCATTCATGATGAATTTTGTTGTTGTTATTATGAACACGATTATGAGTAGCTAATTATTTAGTCTAGGGTTTTGATGGAACCTGTTGAAGGATGAACTTCGTGTTATGTTAATATAGTTTGCCCAATTTAATCTCTATTTGTTCAACTACATTCTTGTTGTAGTTAATTGATATGATCCTCAATTAGCTGTGATTATTTAGTATGTATTACTCGGGAGAGAGTGCATATTTAGGTAGTTGTTGAACAATACCACTCTCAAAGTATATGAGGGATCAATAATCGAGGGTTTAAATATGGGATTAGGGATAATGAAACCTTGGGTGCGATCTAAAGTGAGCTGTAATAAAAGCCAGCTAGCGTAACTTGGGAGAGTGCGTCTAGTAAATTGTCGTAATTACTTGGGAGAGATTTATGGTAGTAAGAGTTCTCATGATTGATAGAGACGATTAGGCAATTCTATGCAAAACATAATGGGAAGGGATTCCATCAATAGGGGAAATCACAACCTTAGATCATTCTCTTATTTGTTTACAACTCAGTCATAGTTAGCATTTAGTTTACTTAACTTCATTCAGTTATAGTTAGTAAAAATATCACCAATTGTTATTCAAAATATCTGGAAAGTTGATTACAAAGAGTTCAGTAAACAAAAGTAATCAGTTGGTTAATTCCCTGTGGGTTTCGACTCTGAGCTAAATACTCGGATTATATTTGCAACAACCGTTTGTCCTTTTTATAAGGCATAGTTGGGCGTGATCAAATTTTGGCACCGTTGCCGGGGAATTAACGGTGTTATTAATTACAGTTGAAAGAAATACAAAAATTCTTTGTGTAGTCAGTTTTCTTTATTTTCAATCCATACATTGAAATTTTAACGTTTGTTGACTTGGTTGTACAGGTGCATGCCTAGAAACTCATCGAGAACTGGTGAAGTATTTAAAGCATTATCAGATCCCGAGAAAGTTTTCAAGGCCTTGAATTGGGCCAACCGGAAAAATAAACAACAACAATCAACTGAACAACTCGAACCAGACATGGGGGATAACGTGGTAGACCCAGCTGCGCCAGTAGTGGTGCCTCTTGTGCCAGAGGCTGCTCTATATGACTGGGCGCAACCCACAGCAAAGAATTTGGCCACAACGATATTAGTCCCGCAAATACATGCCAAATCTTTTCAGATCACAAACAACATGCTGCATTTGTTGCAAAACAAGGGACTATTTTCGGGGTCATACATTGAAGATCGTCAACAACACTTGAATTTCCTATCAATTTGCAAAACTCAAAAGCAGCCCAACATAACTTAGGAAGCAATAAAGTTGTTGTTGTTTCCATTCTCAGTGACAGGAGCTGCCCAGACTTGGCTAAATTCACTCCCCATTAATTCCATCATGACTTGGGAGGAGTTAGTCAAGCAATTTGTGAATACGTTTCATCCACCCAACAAGACTGCTCAGCAAATTGATGAAAATTTGAGCTTCAAACAGAAACCAATGGAAACACTGCAAGAAACATGGGAACGATTCAAAGGGATGTTGGTTATGTGTCCGCACCACGGTATTCCAGATCAGATGTTTGGGCAGCGATTTTACATGGGTGTGGCAGATAGCGTGAAGGCTAATGTTGATGTTTCGGCTGGTGGAGCATTCTTGAGCAAAACATGGAGAGAAAACCAGAGTCTGCTTGACAAGATGGCACAGAATTCGGGGTGGACAACCAGGAATGCACCTATCACTCCAGTAGTTCACTCAGTGCCCGTAGATCCATCCAACACTCTTGCTGAAAATTTGGTCACCTTAATGACACAAATGAGTATACTCACCAAAAAGGTGGAAGAGTCAGGGCAGAAGCAATAGGTGCACGTTGTAGATACAACCAATGGGGGTTTATGCACATCTTGCATTAGTCAACCAATTGGTAGCCAATGGATGCAGAAAGTGATCATCATCATTACCCTGAGGACATGAATTATGTGTCTAATTATAGGGGCCAGAGATAGGGTGGTCAGAATTGGGGCCAACAGAATCAGCCATTCAGGCCAGTCCAGCCACAGCACAACAATGGAAATATGGGAGCCATGCGACCTCACAATAATGTAGCACCCTACCAAAGGCCATAGGGATACAACAATCAAAATCAACAGCAGGGTTATCATCCTCCTCAGCAGCAACATGGTGGGAGATAAGAAGATGGGTTTGCTAGACTCGAGGCAATGATGCAGCAGGTTATTGGGTCAAATGCGAAAATGAGTGAAAGATTAGATGCACATGAGTCAGCTATAAAGAATATTGAAGTGAAATTGGGCCAGATCTCGATGTCTTTGAATAATTGTCCTCATGGGACATTGCCTGCAGACACGCAGGTAAATCCTATCAAGGCCCGAAGCAGCTGATGGCAGTGAGTCTACATAATGATAGAGACTTAGACTTGGAGCAAGAGAGGTCTCGAGAAAGCAGACAGGCTGAGACACTTGTACCAGTGCCCATTGAGCTAGATGATTCAACGAAACTGACAGAGGTGACAGTACAGCCTGCCCAGGAAGAAACCAACACACATATTGAGGCTGAGAAAGAAGCTGAGACAGACCAGGAACCGGTAGTTGAGGTGGTGTCAGACAAAGAGAATACCCAAATCATTGGGAAGAAGAGACCTCCAGCACCATTCCAACATAGGCTGGCCAAATACCAGAAAGAGGAACAATACAAAAAATTCTTGGAGATGTTGAAACAAATCCAAGTAAATATTCCATTGACTGATGCTTTGAAGGAGATGCCTGGTTATGCAAAAATGATGAAGGACTTGATGTCCCGAAAATTTGACTTCCAAGATTTGGCCACAGTGACTCTAACTCAAACCTGCAGTGCTGTGGTGACTAGACCACTTGTTGAGAAGTTGTCTGATCTAGGGAGTTCCACAATTCCCTGCACCATTGGTAACTTTGCTAAAAATATGATTGATAGTTTAAGTTTACTATTTGCAGTTTTCCAAAGTGCTAAGGCACTCTGTGATTTGGGGGCTAGCATAAATCTTATGCCCCTGGCGATCTATAAGAGGTTGGGGATTGGAAGAGCTAGACACACGTCTATGTTGTTGCAGCTGGCTGACATAACTGTGAAAAGACCCTCTGGTATTTTGGAGGACGTATTGATACAGGTAGGGAAATTTGTGTTCCCTGCAGATTTTGTGATTCTCGATTGTAAGGTGGATGAAGAAATTCCCATAATTTTGGGAAGGCCGTTCTTGGCCACAGGGCGAGCCCTCATGATTGTGAAACCGGGGAGCTCAAGATGAGGTTGAACGATGAGGAGATAACATTCAACGTGCAAAAATCTATGAGGCGACCAAGTGAATTCGCCAATTGTTCTCTTATTGATGTCGTGGATGTAATCGTGGAAAAGGATGATGAGACATTGACTATTGAAGATCCT